GGCGGGCGGGGCCGGGAACCGTGATAAAGACCGTGTAGCTCAAGCAGTACTTCCCTCGATGCCATTGTTTTCTGACCGGTCATTCCTCTGGACAACCCTCCCTCAATTACTGTCGATGTCGTGAGACACTAAAATCAGAGATCGGGGATCGCCCTGAGACGTGGCTTAATTTTATTTTTTTGAGATGATCGGCGGCACAATCACTTGTAGAAACTGTAAAGAGAAGATGATAATGAAAATAAAAGTATCTCCTAGTCCCCCAATTTCTCCCCCCTCCCCCCCCATAAATGTGTCCGGCTTTGGAATAGGTTTATTTATATTGTATATCCTCGTTTCTCGACTGTAGACGATGATGATGCTAATTTATTGTTCCTTCGTTGCCCTTCTGTATACGCTAGAGCCCAGGCGGGGAGAAACCAGACACATCCGTCTGTACTGTCGCATGTCGTCGAGTTAGAGGCACGGGCCTCCGGGACAGAGAAGGGTCGTGACAGACTGAGAACCATTCACTTGATTAAATGTCTGTAAATCTCCACCGGGGTTTCTGTGGTTTCTTTCGCGGCCTGGACCTCCCCTGCGTGTGCGAGCGGACGGAACAGGGTGGGGGTCCCGGCCTGCCCGCGTCCTCCCGCCGTTGTGAGCCGCAGACCGGAGACACGCGTGGTGGTGTGTGTGGGCGCAAAGAGGGTTCTCTTATTACTAGAGGCCCGATGCACGAAGATTCGGGCAGGAATGGGCCTTCCTTCCCCTGGCTGCCAGCACCGCCTTGGCTCATGCTGGAGCCGCCTTTCTGCCTTCCCAGGCTGCCCAGAGGCCCAGAGTGGCTGGGGCGGTGCGGAATGCCTGCGCTGTCACCATGGCAACAACACAAGCATCCCGCCCCGTCCCTGGCTGCTCAGCGCCTGCATATGCAAATTAACCCACCATCTTTGTTGGGTTAATTTGCATACTCACTCCTGATTGGCTGGTGGGTGTCGCGAAGGTACGGTCAATTTACATCTTTCTCTTTTATTAGTGTGGATTGATGTGAGTCTCCTCGCATGTTCGTCCACGTGAGGGGTGCTCGGTGGCTAAGCTGCGTGTCCACGGCTCCGAGTGGGGTCTCGGCCACCTGTGTTCCCTTCCTGGCTCAGGGAGGAGCTGGCCCGAGCCCCCATCCAGAGTGCAAGCTAGGCCGACAGCAGCATGGCTCTCCGGTCAAAGCCAAGGCAGCTAGCTCAGTGGATAGAGCGTCGGTCTGTGCCCTGAAGGGTCCCGGGTTTGATTCCCAGTCAAGGGCACAGGCCCAGGTCGCAGGCTTAATCCCCAGTGTGGGGCATGCAGGAGGCGGCCGATCCATGACTCTCTCTCATCATGGATGTTTCTCTCTCTCCCTCTCCCTCCCTCCCTGAAATCGATTTAAAAAAGTTAAAAGCCAAGTTGGCTGGCAGCCCCGTGCAGAGGCACAGTGTCCACAGTGAATGAAAGGGTTCCGTCCCAGAACCAGGAGACCCGCGGGAGATTAGGAGATTGGGGGTGGGGGGCGGGGGAAGGGTAGTTATTTGGAGGGTCTTGAACATTGCAAAAAAATACATGGGTTTTTTTTTTCCTTAAAGTATGTTTTTATTGATGTCAGAGAGGAAGGGAGAGCAAGAGAGAGACAGAAACATCAAGATGAGGGAGAATCATGGATCGGCCGCCTCCTGCACGCCCCACACTGGGAATCGAACCCTGCCCTCCTGGTTCCTAGGTCGATGCTCAGCCCCTGAGCCGCACCGGCCGGCCCATTGTTAAAACCCTGGTGGAGAGGGAGCACCTGAAGCCCGGCCGGCCGGCAGCGAGGTCCCTGTGAGAGGGGGGCCTGGCCGCCGCCGGCTCAGCTCAGGGGTCTGATCGTTACATCCGCTCCTCGCAGACACGGTGCCGCGGTCCGTCCCTCTAACTGAGTTTGACGTTCGCTCCGAAGCCGTCACTGACGTGTGTTTGTGTGAGAACCGGGGAGAGGGCCCCCTCCTCCTGCCCGACACGGGTCACAGGCTGTGCGGCCGAGTGGGCCCGACACCCCCCTGGAATAACAAAGGCCGGTGCTCCCCAGCGTCCGGCAGGAGCTGCACAGCCCAGCCCCTCGAAAGGGCTCCAGCCCTTCTCCCCCGTGGGCCCTTCTCCCCGGTGGGCACCGGCTCCATGCTGAGCGGAGGGTCCATCACGCAGGGGCTGGTGTCGGGCTGTGAGGATGGGTTTGTGTGCAGACAGGCTGAGAACCAATAGGAAACCTCGCCTGTTTGTTTATTTAATCTGATTTCAGTGATTCTAGAGAGGAAGAGAGAAGGGGAGGGAGAGGGAGCCATCAAGGATGAGAGAGAATCACAGATCAGCTGCCTCCTGTGCCCCCCACACTGGGGATGGAGCCCGCCCCCCGGGCACGTGCCCTGACGGGGA